ATATTATGAAGGAATAGTGACTATTTTGGCAATAGTTATTTTACACGGCGTCCATCCCCTAGATCCACCTGCGTCTCTGAGAAGCAATGGTCGCTTTTGGTTCGCGATCATCTCCCTATCCGACACCTGGGACGAGCCACGTAGCCTCGCGACCAACCGGCTCGAGTTCCCTCATATGAGGGAGTACCGTGTTATGAGAATGATCCACTGATATGAGTGAGATCCGTGGTTGAGTATCGCTGTGGTTATATCACATAATACCCTGCCGTGAAAATTTGTAATAGGCAGTGAATAAAAAATGTTAACATTGTGATTATCCTTCAGTTGTAATAAAAAAGACTGCTCCATAAATCAGAGCAAATATTTTCTAGTTCAAAAAAGTTCACCGTTTTCTTTTTTAAAGGGTGAGAGCACCAGTGTGTGGTTCACGTGCGAGTGCTTTCACTTTTTAAAACCCTTCCACTTCACAAGGCGAAGTCGTTGACACTTCAGCCACTGAATTGCAGGGGCACATGAAGCTAGGAACTTTTTTCACTTTCTTATTGGTTCTAAAATATGGTGCTTCAATTTCAAAAACTAAAAATGGTAAAAAATGGTGCAGATAGAACACTGTGATATCATATCCTTACCAGACATTGATCCATCCTGGTTCGCCGTCGTGAAAGCCTTTATAAAAAAGCGAGCTGGTGATTCCGACATTTCCAGAAAATGGCCAGCACATTCTGGTGGATTTATGATGCCTGATTGATTGCAGTTTCCTAAAAGTCTTGGGATACGTGGAGCAACCAGTTAATCGTTGTTGTTGTTTTCGTACGAAATCCACATGGAGCACTCTGAACTTCTCTTCACTTCTGCAAGGTGTACTTCTACGGAAAAGAGGAAAAAAGAAATGCATCCCTAAAAGACAACAGTCCTCCCGACGAATTACAGCCTCATGGCTGGGAGGTGATCATCCTGGGTGCAGGGATGTGATGCAGCGGGTGATTCATCCTCCCCACAGTGTTTCCGAAGCTAAGAAGAAGTCCGGCGTTTCCGCTAGTAAGCGCAGCTAAGAGTGAACCACCACCAGAATCCACCACCATCCTGGTATCAAACCAGTTGCATGGTGGCAAATCTCTCATCCACAAGGGCGGCGACTACTTGTCGTTGCGACCACCTGGGCAGACTTTGGCTAGGATGACCTCGGGACTTCAAGGAATCACATTGGCTAAGCCAAAAAAAAATTCCAAAAAAAAGAAATTTTGCTGGGGCCTGCACAAACAGTGATGAAAGGCCATCCAAGTACCCGGGTGTTTAGGATATCGACAACAATCATAATTTGTAGCTGGCGTGATCTTAAAAATGGGCAAGATGGACAAAAATGATAACAAGCACAGTTTTGCTGCAAACGAAGGCAGAAATTGAAAGAACAATGAGGATGCACGATGGAAATTCCCATTCTGCGATTGCCTGACAAGGCCACTCCAAACTTAGGATTTCCTCCTAAAATCCAAACACTGTTGTGATTAATACAAACTCAAAAAAAAGAATGATAGGATTCCCAGAATCTTTGGTGAATGGTAAGCAGCAAAATAAACATAGTTCGATGCAATGCACTTAACCGACAAAGTGGATAAGTACGGAAACTCTGTTCAGTCCCAATACGATCGAAGCGAGAACTACTATAATTCGAACTGAAACTAACTGGTTTCAGGTTTGCTATCTACTTCGATAACATTACGCTGCAGGAGCTGTCGAAGAATTTAGCAGACGAATACCATTCAGTTTGTGAAAACCTCCTCAACAAACATCCCTTAATCATCCACCAAACTGGGATAAAATGCAAGCCAGGGTACATTAATCATCCATGAAAGGCTCTATACGGCTGGTCCAGAACGCTAAGCACTTTTCTTCATTGGCAAGCTAGCACGATGTTGTTACCAAGCATTTATTCGGCTAACGTTTCGACGTCTTCGTCTTCTTCCGAGTTAAATGGAAATCGGTTTCCAGTAGTCAAGAGGTGTATGTTTAAATGAGCTGTTTACCATGCACATAAAAGTTTGTGCATTTAGTTCTATCTGCTTGAGGTGTGAAATTGCTCGACTAAGTAGATCTTGTCAATGTGACCTTTGTAAGCTCTGGAGAAAGCAATACCGCCAAAACGTCAGCAGTTGTAAGTGCATAAGTGCCATAACAACAACCTCATGTTTCCTCATCAGAAAAACAGTGAACCGTTGGTGTTCCTGCATTTGCCATATGACCCAACAATTCATCTCGTATAAAAATTATACATACAGATCCCGACATTTCTTCCCTTCAGTTTGTTGATTTGCTCTCGAAATGTTTCGGCTTTGGGCTTAAGTTCGGATACGACTCGAGGATCTCATCTTCTTCGCAAACGTCGTTGAACGCCGTAGAGTTGGTTTTCCTCGGAAACTGGCTTTAGCTCTGACTAGAGCGTCTTCGAGTCGTGACCGGATCCTAGAATTCTGGACTAAAGAAAGCTTCTTCCAGGCAAATGTGGTCCTAATTAGCTTACGCCGAAGGAATGGAACGAGGGTGAGGGAGCAGCTCTATTGTTCCACCTGATGAGGCGTCGAAATAGGGATAATGAGTGCATTATCTACACTTCTAACAACTATACCTATCACGTTCCGATGTTCATACTATGTAGGAAAGGTTATAAAGGATAAAAAAAAGACAAAGCTCTTGAGGTTTATCAATCCCCGAGAGATGCGCCATGCATTTGACTTCATTAAGCATCACTGAAGGTGATTAAATCATATTTGGCCCTTACAATGACTCCCGGTAGCTTACCGAGGTATCGAGCCAGTGCTACTATCCTCTCAGATAAGTCTGATACCAATTCGCCCACTCCGAGGTGATGGAAGGTTTAGTGGGCCTAGGGCACAAGTATCGATCCCGTGTGTATTTCAGGGGACCTCCGACCATTGCGCTACACACGCCACGTTGGAAAGGTCATACGCATATATAAATGGTAGCATCGCTGCGTACCAGTATCATTTTTTGGTGGTGATGCTTCACCACCAGCAAAACCCTACGTGGAAAGATTACGTGCCCCAATATATTCTTGAACGACCGTATTCTAACGAATTCGTAAGTCAGGAAGTCCTTTAACATCGTGGTTAAAGTCTAGGACGTCATATTGTAATGTCGTACTTCTTCCTGTCGTTTCTCATTGATTATCACTGTTTCTCTTTTTTTCTATCCTTTTTCCTTATCATATTCTCTTATATTTCTTTTTCTGTAGTCGGAGGACTGAGCTGATAATGCGAATACTTAGCAAATTACTTCTTTAGTTTAGGAGGTATTTCAGATGAAGGCCGCAGCTGTACTCCGTTCAATTTCTAAACTCGGAAACGTAACAGCGAGGTTCGCTGTCGTTGGTCAGCTTCCTGCCCGCTCTCTATCAACATCACGAAGAGGTGCCTAAAAATCTTGAGATATGTTTAACGTTTTGTTTTCTGCCTTTCATAATTTTCATGGCAGGTTACTAAGCGAAATACAACCACAACGTTGCTGAGATATTTGCAAAACTCTGGACCGCAGGTGTCTATGGTGGGGAACGAACGCGCTATTATCCTTTCCGGGGAGTAACGCGTTCACCACCACACCATGCGGGTCCTGTGTTTCGCACGTCTCTCAGCTATTTCTATCGATCTTTTTGCCACAGCAATCACCCGTCAATCTTGAGATATTTTTAAAAAAAACTTAAGTTGGGATATGTACTCTAATGCACTAGTTTAACACCTTTTTGGAGCTTTAGTATAGCATGGAAAAGAAAGAACATTAAAGAATTGGAAGGACTTGAGAAAATGGTAGGAATACTGTTGGAAAATGGGCGCCTGTGGCACAGTGGTCGGAGGCACTGCACAGTACATGTGGTGTCGATTCTCGCTCTCCATCCCTCCGGGGTCGGCAAATTGGTACCAAACTTCTCTTAGGGGGATAGCAGAAATGTTCGATACATCGGTAGGCCACCGCTATTTATTGTAAAGGCCAGAAATGTATTCGATCACCTCCAACGATGCTTAATGAAGTCGAATGCATGGCGCATCCCACAGAGATTGATCAACGCCGAGAGCTCTATCCTTTATTCTTTATCCTTTATCCTGTTGGAATACTGTTGTAAGTCTTGGACTTGTGAAAGAGAGTTGATGGAACCTCATACCTCATTGCCGGCCGTGAGCCCTCGAAAAGGAGAACTCACGAAAAAGCGATTTACCATGATTTCTTTTAGGAACCAAGATTCCGTTTTTAAGGTATATGTAGGGCATAGGTAATAGGACAGTACTGGGACAAAGAAGAGTATTATCTCAACCTTTTTTATGGCTAGTGGGTTTAGCCCATCGTTTCGAAACTTTTCGATAACTTACCGTTTTCTAACCACGCTCCCCTAGCCCATGGAATAAGACTTACTGTGTTTAAATTGTTGAGCTTACACAAGGTTGGTAAATCTAAAACTACACGTACTTATTTTTGAAGTACTAAATGTATGTGCATGCATGGTGAATGGTTATTAAAGAGTCCTCCCAACGGTTTGCCGCCTCATCGTGGCTGGGAAGTGTTCCTGGGTGTCGGACTGCGATGTACAGCGGAGGGTTCATCCCCTGGCAGGGTCTTCCAAGCTGAGAAGGTGTCCGGTGTTTCTATCAAGTTCCCTGGCTGAGAGTAAACCAATACCAGGATCCGTCACCATCCTAGTGCCAAACTATTCACATGTTGGCAAATCTCCCTCTGGTCCACATGGGTGACGACTTGGGGCAGACTTTGCCCTGGCCAACCTCGGGACTCCAGGGAACCACAGTGGATAAACCAGCCAAACTCCGAAAAAAATGGGGATTATGCTGGGGTCCGCATAACCAGTGAGGACAGGCCATCCAAGCATCTAAGTAAATAAATAGAGTACATAGTAAATGCAGTTTCCTTGTATCACTACGATATTTTGTGACCGTCAGGATATTTCTGTTTGTCTAAACAATAGTCGACTATTTTTCCTTATGTTCGACCCTCTATCTTCTCTACGATATCGTAGCATATTTTCAGTCCTCAGTATCGCACCTGAACTAACACAAGCGCTAACAAGGGAAATCCAAGCAGAGCAGCAACTCTCCCAAGAAAATCTTGGCGGTTCCTCGGCGCCAACATTCCAAGGCTTCAACATTGCAACCAAGGATGCAGAGGTTCGGCTCACCAAGCAGTTCGGTAAAGAAAGGTTGGTAAATTGTACTGACGATACAATTTAAAATACGATATCTATAGGTTCTGACTTTGTCTTTGTAGCATTCTTGTTGTGTTTAACGTGAATCACTCTGTTGACATGGATGATGACTATGAAGATGAGGCACAACAAGAGGTAATCATATGGCCTTCCCGATATATCTTCTTGATATGTCGTTACTTTTAGAATTTGTTGAGAACTTTTCTTTCTAATACATATTGTAAGTTGCCCGTTGGTGCATCCACATTACCGAAATTATTTGTAGTACTGAAACTAAAACTAGCTTAGGGAAAGATGAAACGAAAGACCCGCAAGGTGTGGTGGTGAACACGTTAGCCACCGGAAAAGGTGATAGCGGATTCGGCACCACCGTAGACACCAGCGGTTCGGAGTTTCGCAAATATCTAAACATAATTTTGGCTATACTTGTAGCAATTTGTTGAAGCAGCGAATATCTGTTTTATATGGAAATTGTTTCCATATTCTTAATGTTTGTCACGTAATCTCACAAATTTGTCACACAACGCTTGGATTTCCATACAGAAGACTTTATACTTTCGACAAAAGAACGTCATTTAGTATCGGTTTTTCGCAATTCTGAGGGTACATCTAAGTTACTCTGGAAGCCTATGTATGTTCGAGAATCAAATGAACTATTCATTCTAGGGTACCGCTGAAAAAGAGTATTTATGTGCAGATTTATTTTTTAACCAGATTTTGGACTTATATCCTTACTGTGACCGCTCTTAGTGTGCTGGCATCTGTACTATCAAGTTTTACTGTTTTATTGCCTTTGAGCTTGGAACTAAGCATTGTCAGCAGAAAATGTTTCTAGGTTCTTGTTGGTATATATCCAATCTAAGCATTCCGTAGAGGTTTCTTCGGATGTGTTGTGAGATTTAACACACGACAATATTGATTCTCATTGTCGGGACGATGGCGCTACGTCTAATTTTTCGTTGATTTCAGCATGAATTGAAATCGGTACGAACTGTGTCCTTCCATTCGCTATGGTTTTTCTATCATAGAATACATGTGTTCTTGGACCATCTCTAGCTCATCATTGTTGGGGAAACTACCGCTTGAATACAAAAATTGTGCGAAAGAAACTGTGACAAGTATCAAAGAGCACATGCGTAAAAGTTAATGTGCATTTTCGCAGATGTAAGGCTAAAAGGATAAAACTTTCGGCGTTGATCAGTCCCGGACGGATGCGCCATGCATTCGACTTCATTAAGTATCGTTGGAGGTGATTGAATGCATATCTGGCCTTTACAATGACTCGCAGTGGCCTACCGATGTATCGACCTAGTGCTACTATCCTCCCAGACTCCCAGTCAGTTCTGGTGCCAGTTTGTCGACCCGGAGGGATGGAAGGCTTTGTGGGCCATAGGCGTGGGGATCGATTCCACGTGTGTATAACAGTGGCGCCTCTAACCACTGCGCCAAACGCTCCCTTTCGCAAATGTATTAGGTATAACTCGCTTCTCTACAGATAAAGACATCTGTGCTCATTACATACAATTTTCCATTTAAAGCAAAATCTCTTACCTTCAAACGAAGACTTCTAGTGTAAATTTAAGGCAGCTCCAGTACCTGTCGCGTTGCCTCCGTTTACAGTAGAGATCACCAAAGGAGATGATCGTCTATGTTTTCATCTGGAGCTTGTCGAAAGCGTTGATGTGCAAGGAGAATGTGAGTGGACCTTGTTTATTCGTTGCTTATCATGTAGTCTGTATGACGACTGTTTCCATAGTGGTTTTCTTTTTAAACTATACGCACTTGGTTCATATAATTCTTATTCGAAAGTGAATTAACTTTAGGAGGTGGGATAAAAGGGCAAGAAAGGAAATTACGAGCATAACTGTTTATAACCAAAATCAGAAGTGAAGTGCTGGAAAAGAAAAGAAAATATCTGTGAGCATACTGGAGAGGAAAAGGTTCGAGACGTAGTAAAATGAAAAGCCAGTAAATCGCTAGGATAAGATAGGATAGGGTAAGATCGATAGGTACTTCACAATGTTTGTAGCACTAGAGTGTCCCATTTTAAAGGACCACTATTTTGAAGCTGTTAATATCAACGTGTGTTTATACTGTTGAGCTTACAGGAGGTTAATATAAATGTTTATTCGGCTAACGTTTCGACGGTTTCATGTTCATCAGAGCGGATGATCCGAATCGATGACCCACAATTGTTCGTCTTGTCGAGGTGGCGTCTGCGTCGTGCATCGAGCCGGATCTTCCTCAGTAGAGCATATCTCTCGAATGAGCCGTACTCACTTGGCGATGCTTTTTTATAGATCCAGCTCGATGCGCAACAAAGACACCACCTCGACAAAACGAACAACTGTGGTCCATCGACTCGGATCATCGCCTGTGATGAAGACGAAACCGTTGAAACGTTAGCCGAATAAACATTTATATTAACCTCGTGTAAGCTCAGCAATATAAACACATGTTAATTATTTACTGCCAAGGTTAAATGACGGTCGCTTTCAAAATCATTGTTTTGGTATTTGTATCATCGGCAGGAGTATGTGTGCTTAAGAAGAAACGTCGCATGGTTTTTCAGATGATTTTCGAGTGGAGGAATTTTACGTGGCCCCTGCTGCCAAGGATGGAAATGAAGATGTTGCGCCAGAAATTTATGCCAGTAGTGGCAAATATATTGATCCGGTGAGTGGGAGGAAAAATTGTAAATTGGAGAGAACTGGTAGTCGAAAAAACCAACCACAGGTTATTGAGCGATGACAAAGGTGCTTATGTATGCCCACGTAATGAATTCAATGTTTCTTTCCAATTTTTAGGACTTGCACGATCTTCTATTCGTTCGTTTTCTGGAAGAACGTGGATTCGATGCGCAGTTCTGTAAAACACTCGTTGCTTTTGCTACTCATTACGAGCACTCTCAGTATGTTGGTCTACTCAATAAGATCAAAGCGTTCGTGACAAAATGATTTGGTTAGCACTTCAGCATTTCAATCCTTAATTTTTATAATCAGGTGTTCTTAATTATATGTTAGGACTCTAAACATGGTTAATTTGTTGATTACTGTTACTCCGATCATGCGCAGAGGTGTTGTCTGTTGTGAAGCATTAATAAAAAATTTTCGTAGATATACGGAATGTGTTATTGAAAGGAATACCACAAAAATCGTTAAAGACGAGGTAGTCAGTGTATTGTTTTCTGTGTTAAATTTAATCGGAGCTTCAGTCTGAAGCGTACGATATGAAAAATACAAATAGTTGAAATTCGGTAGTGGACTTCGGGAATCTCTTGTCCACTTGTTCACGCGCTCCTTGTACCTAAGGCACCCCATCAAAAACTGGAGAAAGGAAAGTGGGTGGGATTGCTTGTGCAGTAAGTGTGGATTACTTCTATGTAGTGTGGTATGTTAATAACAATGCGTGTTATCCTTTCACCTGGGTATGTAATGCAAGCCGGTTTATAGGTACGTTGATCAAATGTGGTAACTGAAACAAGTGAAGTTTGATTCAATTAGTAGTGTGCCAGTACTAGGTCTTTCCGAGATTTATGTTCGACTTCAAGCTGTATTTATAAAATGGCATGTCTAGGCTAAGGGTGGACATGTTAATTGTAACGAAATCCGCTGAAGCCTACAGATTTTTATCTAGAAGGAGCAAGTCCACGTACCTATTGCTTAAAATTCAAGTCTTCTGGGGGTGATAAAGTCGTCGAAGGCATTTTCGGTTTCGGCTTTGTTTCTGAGGCATTTCTTGTATAAGAAGCTGTCGAGGTGCACAAAGAGGCGGTATTTGTCAGGCGAGAAGTCAAACGAGTATGGTAGATGGGGCAGAGTTTCGTAGCTCAGCTCGTTCAACTTCGAGAGCGTCGGCAGTGCGACGTGTGGTGGCTGGTCATCGTGGGAACGGATTGGTCCTTTCTGTTGACTAATGTGGAGTACAGACTTTGACGTTTGTGTTACCTTCGACGACTTCCTGGACGAACTTTTACATTAGAATCGTCTCAGCGTATCAAGGAAATGTCGAACATTAAACCGCCTGCAAACAACCAGAAGGTTACCTTGTTTTCGATGTAGTTTGGTCTTTGGGTATTTCTCTAGAGCTCCATCGCGGTATAAGCACTGAATAGCACGGGGCCGGTTACCATGATGGATGTAGTCATTTCTCGTCACACGTCACGATACGGTCAAGAAACGGATCGTTCTGGTTGCGAACGTTCACCGACGATGCCTCAAAGCGGCGGCTTCGATTGTCATCCAATTCACACTGCACCCTTTTGTCGACCTCCTTAGATTTTCCAAATGCTTTAGATGCTTAGAAACAATTTTGATGCTTACATTATGTTCTTCTGCAAGTTCTCGAAGAGTTGTGCCTGTATTTGCTTCCAATAGGATCTTCGATTCATCGTCATCAGTACTAGAAGCACGTCCCTGACGTCCTTCATCTTTAAGGTCGAATCAACCACGACGAAAGTTTTCCTAACTAGTATTGCACTGTGCGTTTCTTAGCGCTATCTTCGGCTCTAAAGTCCGTAATTGCTCCAAGTTGTCTTCCGCTTCATCCCAATTTGATTTCGTAGAAGTAGGTTTGTCAAGGCGTTTGTTTATACATCTTTAGAATTTGTGAAAAATATAGCTTACGTTATAAATTATCTATATGGAGCGAAAGTACATAAAATGAGCTTGCCATTGATACACAGTAGTACAGCATTGAGAGCAAAAACTATCGCTAAAAGAAATACAAGAAAGTTAGGGTCTGACCCGAACTTTGGAATTACCTTATAGCAACGCTATTGCATTCAAATTCAATTCCATTTTTCAGAGATGTGCTGGTTAAGCTATTGTGGTTCCATGGAATCCCGAGGTCAGCCTAGCCAAATTCTGCACCAGGTCTTCACCACCACAGGCAGTCGCAGTCCTTGTGGATCAGAGGGAGATTTGCCACCATGTCACTTTGATACCAGGACGGTGGTGGATCCTGGTGTTGGTTTACTCTTAGCTAGGCCTCCTGATGGAAACGCCGGACTTCTCAGCTTGGGAGATCCTGCTGGGAGGACGAATCCCCCTGCTGTACATCGCAGTCCGACACCCAAGAACAGCTCCCAGCCACGATGAGGCGGTAAACGGTTAGGAGGGGTCTCATGAGACATGTGTTAAATGTGGGCCGTCATCGCTTTCTTCCCGAAGACGCCGATAGCTCATCATCAACTTGAGTAGCTACAAATAAATACTTCGTCATGTCTCAAACCACCCATTTCGCATAAATCTATTCCGTAGATTGAATAGTCTGATTGACTACACGTCTAATGTAAGATTAATTCGTTTTTCGTCTAATCACTCTACGTAGTTAAGAAGCATTGGCGGTGGAAAAGTGATCTCTACTGGAAGAGTACGTCCGAGAACCTCGACATCCGCGAACCTGTTGAATATTTTCATCTGGTATCAAATATTTTCTGGCGATAAAAAGGTCCCATTTATCCTACCCTCCATCTCAAATGACTTAAGAAAGGCGGGTCTAGAGAATTCGGTAAATGTAGTTGAAATGCCACTGAGTAATCTTAGGCTCCAGCTGTTCGTAACCGCCTATATGACCGTCTATGTGCAGCACAAAATTTGCATAATTTGCCCCAATGGTAAAGACGGTGATTACATGAGCTCGGGTATAGTTTATCTGATCTCCTGTAAGACGTGCGGAGACGAATACATTGGCGAAACGGGCAGACCCCTCTGTGTCCGCATAAAAGAACACCTAGCCGGTAAACATAGACCAAATACCCCGCTGGGCACGCATAGGACCCAGAGACATAACGGGGAGGACTTTGAAGTACGTGTCACGATCCTCCCGTAGGAATCAAGAGCACGAGCGCGCAAAACACTCGAGGCGTTTTGGATTAATTCCAGAAAACGGAAAATCAAGCGCAGGGGGAATGCCTCGTTATCACGCGCGATATTGGACAGTATATAAACCTGTTATTCTGATGAGAGGAGCACATTACGCTTCCATGTGAATTCTGTGCGGTCGTTCTTCACACGTCATACTCAGTGGAAGACTCATAGAAAGCGGTGTTCGGGGCTCTGTTAAATATGATTAAAATCTTGGTTTAGCGTTTTCTCTGTTTGGTTATGGAGGTGTCTGGCCGAATGGATTGCTGCCAACTTGACCTTTCCAGGCTCTGAGGAAGGTGAAATCCGCCGAAACGTCAGCTTTTACGTAAATAAAGAAATAAAATAACACCTCATGCTTGCTGAACAGAAGTAGAAAGAATTATTCAATCAATGCCAAGGTTAATAGAAAGTCGGACATGGGAACTATTTTCATCTCGTTATGCACCGACTTTCTCCTGGGCGAGCTTCAAATGCTTTGTACTTATATTTCTGCCTTGTCTATGCCTCGATAGAACACAGGTTCATCTTTGAATTGCTTTGGAGACCTGTTTCTAGAATATCACGATCAACATTTGATAAAATGACTCTGGAAGAATTCAAAATTATGCTAAGTATCTTTACTTTTTGCTTTTTGCGTTCTATTATTTTTATGGCAAGGTATTAAGCGAAATACGGGTGATTGCTGATGGCACAGATCGATAGAACTGGCTGAGAGGCAGGCGAAACGAAGGACCCGCATGGTGTGGTGGTGAACGCGTTACTCTCCGGATAGGAGAATAGCGCGTTCGTTCCCCACCGTAGACACCTGCAGTCCGGAGTTTTGCAAATATCTCAGCATCACTGAAATTATATCTACAAAAACGTTTTTCCATAATTTCCATAAAGGAATTTCCATAATTCGTAAATGATTTGAGCTCTCTTCGAATCAGATCTCCCTAAACGATCTCCTTAAGAACGCCATGAAGCCATTTGACTTCTAAGGTCAGTAATACACAGGATCCTATTTCTACCACAAAACACCTTTTCGTGAGGTTCTATAACCGCATCTTGAACGAGGCCTAATTTTCAGCCTTTGAGGGGTTTTTGGAAAACGAACAATAATTTTTTAATAATTAGAGAACTTCTTTGGTTCCGAACAAGAATGGATTATAGAAAAGACCTTGTTTTATCGCTGTATGGGTATGAATCGTTCGCCCTCCACATGGGACCGATCCCCGCGCCCATGGCCCATCAAGTCTCCCATCGCTCCGGGGCGGGCAAATTGGTACTAGACTTGTCTGACAGGATAGCAGCACTGGCTCGATACATCGGTGGGCCATCGCGAATCATTGTAAAAGCCAGATATGCATTCAAAGACCTCCAAACGATGCTTAGTGAAGTCGAATGCATGGCGCTTACCTCAGAGAGCTTCATTAATCCTTTAAGGGCATGAAAACGGGCTTTTATACGTTGCGTGCAGAATATACCTTCTCCCGATCAATGCAAAGCACAGTATGTGGGTTCCACAAGCTATTAAGTTACAACGAAAAGCGTAGGAAAGTGCTTCTACGTGTTGAAATAAACAATCGGAAAGAAAATGAGACCCATAGGTGTCTTACCGAACCATCCCGTAAAACCTTCATGACACCTATGGGTGTCAATCGTCGCCACAGTGTTAAAAAGGTACACTGCGAAAAATATGATAATTATTATTGACCAGGTGAATCCGGTTTGGGATCATAATCAGTCCTCAGTGACCTTAGGTTAGGTTCGTATTGAATCACCTTTACAAAGTACTCAAAGTTCTAGTGAAAATGAAGTCTTATCTAGAAGCGTTTATGATCTTGAAATATCTTGAATTCTCAACTTTCAGGACAGTTTTATGTTCGCCAACAAATCGCGAAGTTTACAATGTTCGAGCTTCATAGCGGGTTGAAGTCACTCGTCAGTTCATTCAAACCGTTTCCCCATGACGATGACATGTGCAGGAAATCGTTCATTGCTTGCTGAAAAGTGTTAAGCAAATGGGAACTTGTCATCCGTCTTATTTATCATTCTGTACTTTCTAAACATTTATATAGTGTCTTAATACCTTACCGTACCTGAAA